TTACAGGACTCGGGTTCAATGAGGCTGGGTTCCTCCAACCGCTGAATCAGTCAAACACACGTACGTACATGCACGCACAGAGATTAATAGGGCACACCCGAGTCAGGCCGAATTATTCAGCGCTGACAGGCTGACACACTCATGTGCCTTGAACTCGGTTTATCCCTTACTTCAGCAGGACAATAATAAATGCAGTTAGACACATACACACATGCTAACAGGGTACAACTGAGCAGGCTGGATCTGATCAGCACTTTCAGCTGATGCCCTCATGCGCCTCAAAAAACTCAGCACATCCCAATGTCTTGTCACAATGGTCCTAGTAGTAACTCCCTTGATGAGCAGACCCCACTGTAGTATTGGGCAGTACAGGGATCTTTGCCACAGGTCAAAGAAGTGTTGCTGCAGAGCAAATGGGGAGGTCAAGGGGAAGGAACAGTAAATGAGGTTCAGAGAGAGAGAGTATAGCAACCAGCTTGACCATAAAAGTTTATTGCCAGGTATAGTCTAATTGCCTCTTTGCAGCTGTAAAACGCTTCAACAAATTGGTCCCCAGTGTTAAAATTAGTCAGAAAACCTGGATAATCAAAAATTTCAGTCCTACAGACAATGATCATGAGCAATATTCTGCATCTTTAAACATAATGCATTTAGAAAAACATCTTTAAGAAGTGTGCAAATATTTTTCTACACTTTCATGCTACTCCAAGAGCCCCAATTTCCTTTACACCAGACCCTGTTTGTGTTACTTTTCACATATGTTCAGGACATTTTAGAAGCTCTCAAGGTTTCTACAGTATTTGAACAGGAAGGAATTTCTTAACATATCAGTTGATTGGTGGGAAAAGGAAATTCTTCACAGATGTTCATCTTAGCCCAGTGTGTTCATCAAACACAAGAGGCAATTCAGGCTTGAAAGCCTTGTTTTCCAGGCCCTTATAAACTCAAGACACATGCACACAGAACTCACTGGCATTGTTTCTTTGTAGTTTGTGTCACTGAAAAGGGACTCATAAGGCACAAACAGACGTGCCGCTCCATTGTAACTCATGCGAAGGGCTGTGGATTACAATAGGATCCCCTGGACTCAACAGAAATTCTCTGTTGGGTCCTGAGGTTTGGGGAATCCAGCTGCTGTTTAGAGCAGCTGGGAGCCTGCAGCCACTTTCCCCTCGCAACATCCCTCCCTCTTCCCAGCCCCAGATGTTTTCAGAATGGGAGGGGGGAAAAGGGAGCAGAGGGAGCTCGT